AGCTTTCACAACTTCTTTCAAACAAAACATTTAAAAGACCATCATAAATGGTTCCTACTTCTAATAATATTACAAAACATTGGAAGTCTCTTCTAAGGTCATGATTCCAAATGCATTATATCTTTTCATCTATTCAAAAAAAAATATGTTCTTAAAGTCTTCATCTCTTTTTTTTTGTCTTAAAGGTTGTGTCAATTGCAATGTCTCATTTGGTAATTTGGTAATTCAATAAATGATACCCCTTCAGTTGAATTTGGTAATTATTAATTTTTTATTTCTTTAGTGCCACATATAGTAAAAAATCACAATCAAGGATAAAAGATAGAAAGAAGCTTTACTAAATTTCATTTCTTTTATAGTAAGGAGTTCATTAATTCTTCATCTTGATTTTGTTGTGTATTATAGATGAAAAGCTTTGACTTGATTTATTGCATTTATAAGATTTTTGGAAGGCTCCTATATACATTCATTTATATTATATCCATGCTAGTGTATAGGATATTCCAACCTATTTTGGCATTGCTCTAAGTTTAAGATTTCTTTGACTTTTAATTCTTGATTATTGTCCACTTCTATAAAAAGAAGTGGCATTTATTTTCTTCTTAAAATATTCATTGTATAATATGGCTTAAGAAGAAACATATAAAACATAGGATGGATCTTTATACACTCTAGTGTTATATTGTAATATGACTATTAAGTGAAAGAAAGAGAAATATATATATATATATATATATATATATATATATTATAAAAGAAATTAATTAAAAATGATAGAGCAAATTATCTTAAAAATATAGATAATAGACAAGGATGTAGTAAAACTAGTAACTATTAACATTGCTTATTTATAGATTAGAGTTCTACTTATTTTCTATAGTCTTAAATGAGGCAAAATAATTTAGATAAAAAAATAATTAATAAAGTCATCTCAAGAAGGAATAAAGAGTAGTTTAAATAAAAAATTACCTTAAGAAACCAAGAATTGATACTTGGAGAGGACTGGTCATGAACCATGGTTAAAATCAAGCTTCAACACACAAAATTGTGCACCCATGGCAATTTGGGATTCTTTTTGACCAAAGACCAATGTTAAGAGTGAACTTTAAAAGAGTTGTTTAAGCATTGATTCCAAGTGATTTGAATGCATATTGAATTTTTGAGAGTTTTTCAAAATAAGAGATGTATTTAGTGATTTTGGATTTTAAGAAATAAAAAGAGACACATATATTTGAAAATTTTGTGAGTCTTATAGTAGATGTTTGGATAAAATTTTGTGAGTCTTATAGTAGATGTTTGGATAAAATTTTGTGAAATTGTAAATTTAATTTTTTTTAAAATATTTATAAATTCAAGATCAATTAAACAATAATATTGAAAGATATGAAAGTTTTATTGGGTTAAGATATTAGATATTTGAATTTTAGGATTAGTGAGATTTTTTGTGATCTTAAGTAATTTTTTGGTTCAATTAAAGAATTTTTTTTAAGAGCATATTTGACTTAGGTATCTACATTTTGGCCAATTAGAGAGCAATTTAATGATTCAATAAGGAGTAATTGCTGCTAGAAGATCAACATCCAAGTTATAGAAGGAAGTTGGCTAACATTTGAAAGTATTAGGAGTTTTTTCTTCCAATTTGTACATTCAATTTTTTTCAAACTTTGTGTATTTGTTGTTTGATCGAAGATTAAAATGTAAAAAAAAAATTTAATTAAAATCTATAGTTTAATTAATATTTATTGAAATTTTATAATAATTACAAGAATTTGATTAGGATTTATTTTTGATTTATTTAGAATTTACTTAAGATTTGTTTAAGATTTTATTAAAAAAATTTAGTATTTTTTAGCACTACATTAGAATTTATTTAAAATTTACTTAATTTTTTAAATATTTTTTAGAAATTTCTTTTTTATTTATTTAGATTATTTATTTTGTATTTTTGTTGGATTTTTAAAATATTTCTTTCAGATTTATTTATGATTTATTTATGATTATTTTTAATAATTTCTTTAAAATTTCTTAAGAATTGATTAGAATTCGATTATGATTGCTAAGATTCAATTGAGACTTATTTAAAATTTTATTAAAATTGTTAGGACCTTTGATGTTGCAATTTTCAGTTTACCTTTCATAGCCAAAAGTTTGGTGCATTCTCAAACAAAACAACACATAATACAACATTAGTAGATATAATCAATAAATAACTACATTGATCTGTTTACTAATAAAAAATGGTCCAAGTTTACAATAATCCAACTTGCCACAAAGGTAATTAGTTCTGATATCACAAAAATATAACCATATTGTATTCTCAAAATGGAATTGAGGTTGTTGTTTGCAATAGGCAACTGCATTGATCTTTTGTTGTTTTTGAGCTTCTTTTAATTGTGCCTTCACTATTTCATGTAATAGTAAAGGCACAATATCATATCATATCCACAAAATATTTAAGTACATTTTAAAAAAAACTACATATATTTTTATTAAATAATTATTAAATTAAAATTTTAATTATGGTATAAATAGATCCAAGTAATTTGTTAGTAAAGAAACAACAACTAAAAAAATATTAGTCAATTGCAACAAAACATTTGAATTATTATAAATGTTGAAAGACTAGGCTTATTTATAAGATGGGATCATATGATATAATGTATTGCACAAAGGAATATATTAAATATTTAGGAAATTTTATATTAATATATTACCTAAAACTACTTCTCCTTTCAAAATCTCCTATTAATTAAAAAAAATAATAATAATTTTGAAAATAATAATAATAATAATAATAATGTGATTTGATCAAAATATGTTTTTAGTACTGAAAAGGTGTTTTACATCAAAACTCTACTAATTAAACTGATTTTTAGTTAGTTACATTGAATGAAAAACTTCTTTAATTATTATATTTTTTATTTATTGTATTTATAGGTATTATAATAACTTCAAGAAGTTACACTTTTTTTTAAAGTTGGAACACAACACACTTGAAACACCAATTTTCAACTTTGAAATCATGCTAGTAACAATTATTGTTGAAATAATAAAAAAATAAAAAAATAAAAAACTTACCCAAATCTATTAGAATCAAGTTCACGATTCACAGTGACTTTTCAGAATGTCAGGCTCATTGATTTCTCCACAGTTCCCTTGACTGTCTCATGTATTAATGAAGTGGTTGTGTATATACACATGAGGAACTCATCTTTTTGGTTCTGCAGGTTACATGCAAGTCTCTAAAATACATGAAAAATCTCTACAACAACATGCAAGTCTCTCTCTTCTCAAGTCTCTCTCTAGATTTGTGAACACCAGGCAACCAGTTTGTGCTCCATCGTTCAGTGAGAGTTTCTGCAGAGGATACTGAGTCATGGATTCATATTAACCATCAAAAATAGTCCCACCCATGCAACCTGCTAACGTCTTCTGAACAGTGAAAAGAAACTAGCTGACGGCATGATCAGTAAAGTGGACCTGAATTTCCTATCCGGAGGAGGATTTTCCGAGTACTATAACGAACTCCGCAGGAATCTAGAGACGCTGGTACACTGAGTGTCGCGCGTGACACCCTCTTCACCACCTAATCGGCGATTCATCTGGTCTGGAAGCCCCACAGCCTCCTACATTAACTTTCCCTCTAGTTTGGAATTTGCCTTCCGCGATTGAGGCCGCAACCAACCTCGGAGATTTGTTATTTCGAACTACCAATTTGCGAATTGTGAGCCTTGCCAGATTGAGTTATGACTCCTACCAACGGTAATATAACTGATCTCCGATTCAATGTTTCTTCGCATATTTCAAGTAATCGAGACGGAGAACCAGTGCATCAGTAACTGTGCCGATTTGTCTCAAACTCTAGTCTGCGCGATTGCAGCAGTTGGGCAGGTAATTTGGCCGTGGAAGGAGATTCATAACTAATGAATAGTCAGTGTCCGCATGAGTCTCAGTCTGAGTTATTTAGCGGTTGAATTCCAGGGTTCAGAGTTGAGCCACCGGAGTGGCTTGCACCAAAATGTGAAGGATAATCAATGAGAAAGACACGACTGGCAAGTTGATGATCGTCCGTGCAAAGCGACATGGCGTTTGGAAGTAGGTCAAGGCTCTCCAGTGCGTCGACAAGGTGGCACACTACAGCCTGGAGCAGCGTACCTTCTTCCTCTCCGATCGCTAATAGATGCTCTGGGTCAAGGCGGGGATTAGCCGCCGCATGGTTTTCCATGAAGACAGGCATCAACGGGATTCAACGAGCTCTGCACAGCGATGTACGCCGACCTCACTACCCAAATATTCAGCATGTTTGGCTTCAACGGAGAGATGATTTGCAGTCTGTTACACCACCCCACCCGGCTTTCCGAGGTTGGCGTACTCAATTCCGACGTCGCAACCAACACCATGTTTGTGTCTTGGTGTTCGGTGAGAGCGTGAGCTACATCATCTTCTTCACCATTCACGCCATCCTAACCATGGATTTCAACAAGTGAACAGCGAGACTGAAAGTTTCCGAGGATTCTACAACTTCGATGCTGATGTAAACCTTGAAGGCAGTAATCCCCGTCATGAAGATGCAGTAAGTTGTGTCCACTATGTCAGTTGTCCTGATCTCGGACGCCTTCATTGCGCTGGCGGTAGTGGATCAATTTTCAGTTTATGTCGCGTACAATTTATTGGATTCAAGTGGGCTCGCATCTGTGCATGCTGGACGGTACCAATATTAGCAGGAGTGCAAGTAAGCTGTAGCAATCTCTTCACCTGAATGACTGCAGTGATTCAAATTTGAGGGGATCGATGAGTGATTATTGTTGCGAAGCTGCGCTACCTTGATGAATCAACTTCCGATTGGTCAAGCCTCTGTGTGATTTAGACATTTTAGATGACAGGACGTTCACAGCGTTCTGCTCAGTTTCCTATTTCAGGCAGGAAATTTGGAAGATTCTATTCTTGGCTAGCTTGGGGATATTGGATGCGAAGCAGTTCCGGAGATCTAGAGACAGAAATAGCAAAGCATAATAGACATTCCCTCTATAACCTCCAGATTTCGGGACATATTACTTTGGCCCTGGGGCAACACCTACATCAGCAAGTGTAATCAGGATCAAAGTTGGGGGCAAGGAAAGTGTAATCATCACTAGAATGGCTCTATGGCTTGTCGTCTATCAAATCTAACTCTAGGAATCTGCATAGCCTACAGACTGCGGGCTTCATATGTATTGAAGAGGCATCAACTGTGAACCAGGAAAGTGTGACTTAAGAGAAAAAGTACTTGGCAGCTGAGCTAAACCTTGTCCAAGCAAGTTTGGAGGGTAGAAATCTTAATGCTGAACACCTATTCTTCAGTTCTATTAGCAGCGCTCGGTTGCCAAATCCAGCCTGCATTTCATACTCAAATGTGGATCCAGACCGATCCATTCACTATATTCTAGTCAAGACATCACTTTTTTCTCTTTAGGTGATGCGGTTTCAAATCCAGCAGACTACCCATCATGACAGTATGGGCCAAGATGATAAAAATGAAGACAAAAACAGTTCCTGCATCAAAGGACGGGCTGGACGTTAAATAACACAATCCTCACATAATCTTCAATTCAAAGAGATGACTGCAAATTGAAAAAATATTTCAATCGGGTCAAACTGCCTAAACCGCAACGTATTCTAACTTGAGGGTGTAGATCAGATTCGGAAGAAATGCGGAAGACACAGTCTACTCTAATCACCAGCGAATGAATGCCTAGGCTTTTTGAATCAAGAAAAGAACTCAAAATATTCTGCATCGCATCAAATCGCAGGAGGTGGATGTTTACACACTTGGCACTAGGAGTGAAGAGAAAATTGCAATCTAGAAGCTACCTTGAGATTGTCAAATCACTAAAAAAAGGTCCCTCGTCGGAAGAGCCATCCAAATAAACACTCATAATTGACGTCGGCAATAGCACAGCAGCTCGTCAGTGCTCATGATTTCTACACAAATAGCACTTCAACAGTTAAGTTTGACAGGTTCCGAAAGGTGAAAGGCACAAAAACCTCCACGTGGATGGTCGTCAAAAAGCTCCCATGCTACTGCAAATCTTCAATAGATGAATAATTGCACCAGCACATGCACACCAAACAGCAGTCTATCATCGCAGAAAAGAAATGATCATCGAGTGTACCAGTTGTAGATCGAGGCGGAGGTTATTGTGATCCTGAAACTTGTGCATGGCCGGAATGCTTGAGCATAATTGATGAGTGAGGACACTGGTTCCCTGAAACTTTATCCGACTTTTCCTACCAATCGAAACTAGCTACTAAATTTTTGACATAGTGGGAGTCAAACTAAAAATAAGACAAGATGTCATGCGCGACCTAGATACTGATTACGAGAGGGCACCAAAGGAGTTTGTTATATAAATTAGAATGATCAATTGTAGCAGGTCAAAACTCATGATCAAGCAGTAAAAACCACCATCAGATCACTGGCCTTCCCACGAGACTACGAAAGCTACCTAAAATAATTGGTAAGATAAAAGAAAAGAAGGACCAAATTCAGGGTCTGGTCATTGTCTAACCAGAAACCAGCAACTCCTCTCACCGTGTGAAAAGGTTGTCCATGAATGCATAATATCGTCAATATTTGACAAAGCTACAACTCAAAGGGTATGAATACAATTGGTGGAGCCAGCTCTTGGAAATCGACACTAAATTACAAGTTCAATGCCTGCCAACCATCACAGAGCTCAAGCAGCTCAAGGTGGCTAGAATTGCCAACCAAGGTACTCGTCCGGGTCTTTGTTCAGCGCATACTCCTCCATCATCACAGTGTTTTGCTTCAATTCTTGCTCATGTCCACAAATATAATTCAATCCGACGAGCAGCTCTGTGATGACTGCTTCTGTCTTTGTCAAGTCTGCAAAGTAAAGAGTTTGCAGGAGAAGACAATTGGTGCGGGAGACTACTTGCTGCTGCTCAAAATTGTGCTCCGATTGCCACCTAATCATGTTGTGAGCAAGAGGAGCCAACCAACTTAGAATTCTTTCTAGTGCGTCCTTCCAATCGGCAGCAATCATAGAATCATACTTGCCAAATTCGCACGCTCTCATACTCGCCCGTAACCTTGAACGCAGCGCTACTCGCACACTCTTAGGAAGCATGTTATAGAGATCATCTCGGGCATCTTCAGCTATCAAGTGGGGATGCCTGATCATCTTCTCAAGGATGATAATCACATTAGCATAATGTAACGCAAGTGCTGCTCCCCCCAGTGTTGACCAAGGTGCCATCCGATGCCGGCTTTTGGGATCGCACAGCTCCCTAATGTGTTGCCTATCCTGTTTAAGAAAAGGGGCTTCTGCTTGCTCAGGTTTGATACTATGCTTAGTAACATAAAGAAGTGCGGAAGTAAACTCTTCCGTTGTTTCAGCTTGAAGAATGGCGTTCAAAGACCTTTCAGTAAATACTTTCGGAGGCTCCACTACAAGGGGTCCATACAATGGCCCTGACATTGGAATAGGCCCTGAATGTGGAATAGCTCGAGATGCTCTAGTAGGACTGGAATGGGGATTGGTAGGATGACTACTGATAGAATTCCTCCGTGGAATAGAAGGACCAGAAGCAAAAGTAGGAGAAGCAAATGGGCGATATTCGCAAACAGCTCTCGCAGAAGTCGCAGCTAGTTCAGTGATTCCTAAGCCTCTATCATCGATTGGAGTACTAGAACCCTGAGGGCTTAACGACCTTGACACAGCCTCTACGCTAAATGAAGAAAGGTTATTCAGAGAAGAAGATTGATAATGAAGAGATCCGAAACTGTGAGGATAAGATAGGCGCGGACTTGAAGACGTCGCCTGTGAGCCTGCAGCCCGATTCTGCCAAATAGGTCTTGATGAATCACCATTCTGTTGGTTTGCAAATACATGCGATAAACCAAGCATAGGTGAACCAAATACGTTAATAATTCTTCCATGTATAGTGCATACGGTCTGTGCTAGTATTTTCACAATCTTGTCATACGTGTGGTTCCACAAGGATAGATCCCTCATATACTTGATCTCCTGTCTCTGCCACATTGCTTTCTGTTCCAATGTACTTAAGGATTCTCCGTTTGGAACTTCATCGTCATCTTGGAGTCTACGTATGGCTTGCTCTATGTCTGCAAGAGCCTCCAACTCATGATAAAGAGTGGCTGTTGAGGATATGTACTTCTCCATCTTCTTCATTTTAGCTTCCATTTCTTTGTGCGGCAGCTCAAAAGCTCGCAAGTCAATATCTTGCTTTAGCAAATCATTATAAATGTGCTCAAACGCCTGCAACGCTGGTTCCTGGCACTTTTGACCAAGGCGAGCTACTGCACCGGCTACTGCCGTCAAGTCTTGCAGCTTTTCCATACATGCTAAACTTAATAGGACGGCTTCATTGTCGGAAACTAAATTCAATACACCTTCCCCTTTAATTACCTCTGTGCGTAACCGAAGTATTTCCTGGTCACTGAGAGACTGCCAAAGTTGTATACTTTTTGACATTACATTTGCCACCTCAAACGCAAGTATACCTATCTTCACCTTTTCAGCTTTATTGCCCTTCTTCTTAGAATGTGGACCAAGCTTCCCAGCTGATGCTTTGATGGTGCTAACCTGGGCCCCCATCGCCTCTTATTACTTTTCCTCACGGCTATTTCGTACAGGACTTTGTCTCACAGCTGGAAGGTAGAACCCAGTCCTGTGCAAAGAAGCTTCTTCCTGCCCCTATACATGCGGCCTCTAGTCAATCACAAGAACATAACGGCTTGAAATATGGGCTGAGGTTCTGTGCAAAAAGTCGAGAGATATCAAGTTTAGAATTCCTACACGTTTACTACCATTATCGTACGACGTAACACTGAACATACACGATAGGTCAGCCAACAAGTGAAACTGACCGTGCCAGCTCTTATCACAGTATCTTCGCACAACAAGCTTAAGTTTACGAATCTAAAAGTTCGGGTCAAATCTGAATTTAAATGTACGCTAAACCAATAAGAGCTGGCTGGACAACATTGGAACGTAGCTATGAGATTGAAACTCGTATTAAACGACCATTAACAACTCCGAACAGAATATAAGGTTAGAAAATGTCACAAAGAGGCTTCCTGATCTTACCTATTGCGTAAAGTTCCCCTTATCATCAGAGATTGCTGACTAGGCCTTCCTTCGTAAACTACACTAAACTTTCCTGAAGCACAAAAACCCCGGATTGGATTCAGCTCAACAATATAGTGCATCATATTTAGACTCACAGCGAGGGCATATAATCAAAAAGGCAAGAACCCGTGTAGTGCTGCGGCAATAAAATTACTATTGAAAATTCAAGAAATCTGCATGCATCTTAATCCACATCGATATCATAGATGTAGTTGACTCTCATCAGTCCTAGAAGTAGATGTTTCATTTCCCCTTGGACATTAAATAAAAACTGTATGCTCACTCTGATTTAATTGCTTTCACCTGACTAGACATTACACAGACACACACACCACAGAATGCCTGCAAGGTTGAAAATTTTGACGTTTAGTAGATACGTTTCGAAACTCAACTGCAAAGAACTGAGATCACAAAGCACTCACAAACTTGACACTTTGAATTGAAACTTTTAGCAAGACGCGATAAAATAGCTTGAAGCTTCAAGAAGTGATCGACTTACTTTTAAAGAAGGTCTTATGTGCAGCCCTATTTTTTTTTTATCTACCATGGTGGCCAAGAAATGCAGTCCCAAGAACATCACTTAACTTTAACAACAAGTACGTCTAAAGTCTTAACCGTTCATTCAACCGAAGACAGCACAACTCATTCGAAGCCTCTCAATAGACAGAATAATACAGAATTGACTTCAGAGACAAAGAATGAATGGTCACTTAAGAAGGATTGCTCAGATTGCAGCAGCAAAATTTTAAAACTGAGGACGGCAGAACAAAATTGGTTCCTTAGGGGAGTAAATTAATCAATTCAATCAACAGTAATGTCAAAAACTCCGAGCGGAATCCAATATGTCCTCGCTAGAACACTCAAATGGCTAGAGATGACAACCTCATTACAAAGATTTGCATTAACCCACTGATGACTGAAAATCGTAAATCCCAGATTCTTCCGCTACACTGACACCACCGAGGGTATGTCTCGAATACTCGCATTCTTTCATTACATATACAAAACCGCATGACAGGCTAGACTTGAACGCCACAAGTTTGATCAAATATGTACGAGATCCACTTTGAGCTGCCCGGAGAAGAGCAAGAGAAACTGTCGGCAGCAGATGTTCGGTGGATGTAGTCTCGCAGAGAATAGCACCGACGAGGTAAATCGACAAGATTCTCCAACAATGTACACATCACTCTGAGCTAAAAAAAACCATGTCAATATGAGCAAACCTAGATCGTCTTGTACCAAATGGGTTGTGGCGGTCAATCCAGTCCATCCCAATGCACAACAAAAACAAATTACCCCAAATTCTGACCACTCCCACGGACCGAAAAAAGCTCAAAGCCACAAATAATACGCTTCCACAAAAACCTCACATAGGCGGTAGCAGTACCCAGAAGCTTCACTCGGGAGCCACCGCCTTCTCCTCTTTCCGTCCCTGAAACATCAATGTCCCGCAGCCTACTCGTCTCCGCCATTCCTCAATCTTCTCTCAGCACCATCCTCCTCATCCACATTAGTTCTCCTCCTTCTCGAAACCCAAAAACCTAGATCTGGACGTCAACCGAGCTGTCACGCGCAAAAGTCGATCTCACATGGGGAGTAAAACAACAACTACGCTACCCCAACCCTCATTTCCAGCTCTGCGACGAGGCACCATCCTCAGCAGCGACACCCATCTCCTAAACACCAACATCAGCAAATGCGAATGAATCCGCTAATGAATTCAAACGGGAAGCAGAGGGGGAGGGGTGAGGTCGTTTGTCAGCCAAAACTAGGGGAGGGAGAGCGAGAAAAACTACATGCGCACAAACCGGGAAAACGGATTCGCGATTGAAAGTGGTCCCAAATAGTAAAACATGTGGTGGAGACTCCAAAATAAAACAAACAAACAAAACAACGTAATTGTCGCGGTGGCTATGGCGTCGTTGGAGGGATTTTTTGTTGGGAGTCGCTCCGCTGCGACTGGCGCTGGGGAGCCCCACCCGAGGTCTTGCCCTTCGGGGTGGATGAAAGTAAGAAAGTAAGAAAGAAAGAAAGATACCGCGGGCACCGGTGACCGCACTCCCTCCCCCTCCCCCCTTGCCATACTATATCTGATATAGTAGACTGAGCCCAACAACAACGAGGCGGCCTTTTTTCTGCACAAGAAAAATGTTTGTTTCTTTCTTTGATTCTGTTTGTTTTTTCTATTGCGCCTTTGATGTACAGATTCAGGTTTTAATGGGGGCTCCCCTCTGCGTGAAAAAATTCCATTGATTCCTGTGGTCAATGGACGGTCAATAGATTCCAGATTCATTGTTTTTATGTCGCTCTCCCTTTCTATGTCTCTGGCATTTTTCATCTATATTGCACACATACACACATTTCGACCTGTGAACACAAGATTCTCAGATGGCGATGTTGATGGGATTTTAGATACTCTGAGGATTTGTAAAGTTTTTTCAAAAAGGTAAGCAGACAAACGTAAGCCAGCATGAGTGGACTGTGAGTACTCGTAAACCCACAGTGGTGGCTTGTTAGAGTTTGGAGTCTCACATGTAAACGTTTTAACTTTATGCAGCTCTTTATATAGAGGGAAGCACATTGAATGGGTTCATGGAGTGAGGTTGGGTGGGAAACCCAAGAGGAAGCGGTGCAGACAATCATCATTGATTTCGAAGGATGGTCCAGCAAAAACTGACACGAACTTGGTACCATTTGGCTAGCGTTGTTGAGGCAGGTACGATTCCATCTGTTCACCGTAACTCAGTCATCTCTACTTTCCTTTTTTCTTTTTCTTTTTTTCTTTTCATCCAGCGAGTGGAGTAAAGCACATGAAGCTATTATAAACGAAGGAATTGGCTAACTCCAAAGCATCAGTTACAGAATAACAGATATCCAACTGCACCTCATCAACAACCAGAATCGGTAATAAATCCATGATGAAGGATAGCGTCGTAACGGACTCGTTTTGCACGATCAGAGCCAAAAGTCCCAGAAACGATAGTCCACGGATTCCTCTGGCTACCATGAACCAAGAGATGGTCATTGATTAGAGGGGCAAAATTCTGCCACGAATTGAGAACCCTCATGTCTAAATGGGGCATGATCTGCATGGACTCCTGAATCTTCAAAAACTGATAGGGATTAAGAGTTGTCGGATGCGCCAATGCTCCTTGCTTTGGTGACCAGCAAGAGGCAGTGTTCCATGCACAATGTGGGTAGAAGTAGAAGTTCATTTTCAAAAATCAACAAAAACTTGTAGACTACAGAAGGATAGGGTGAAGAAGACAAAAAACAAAAAAACAAAAACAAAAAACAAACAAACTATAGAAAAGATAGAATCTCCCGAGGTCACTCAAAGCATTAAGGCAGTTTGATGCAAATTGGACTAACATATATCGTGCACTACAAGTAATTTATAAATGGTATGGTTGAGGGGACTAGTTCTCCAGCCAATGCTCTTCACTCTAACCACTGCTAAAGCAAAGAACAATAACGCTTTGATGCAAACTTCATGTGGAGGGAATATTCATAGTGCCAAATAAAGACTTAAGTTTTCAAAATCAGAAAAAGAAAAGAAAAGTAGAAAAGAGGATGAACACAGGAAGCTCTAGGTGGAGTGAGGAAAGCCCTTCAATATCCCCGTACAATAGCCCTGTAAATAGGAGGAGGCACTTTAGGCCGTGAATCTTTACTGTCGTACTGATTAGCTCCAGCGTCTTTAGGTTCATCAAGCTCAGATTCAAGAGTAAGAGAAACTAGACATGCAGCTGCCAAGCTTCATCGTTACATGCCAGACACCAAGGAGAAAAATAAGTTGGAAGCTCAGAAAGGGCCTCCAAAATATAACCGCCGATGTTAACCGATTTCTTTTAAGATTTGTCTCGCAAGCTCAACGTAAGCCCCAACCGTAAATGCACCGATATGCCTTAGTTTCTAACTAGCTATTCCGGTCCATGGTGAACGGCACACAGCAGAATACAAAAACGCATAACAGTAAATCAAAGTATAAAGTCATATTATAGAACTAAGACTCGCATTCTTTCAAAAAACGATTTCACAAATTGCAAATCGTCTCAAGCTATAATTCGTTGCGACACTACGGTGGTTCAACATAATAAAGTTATAAAATAAAAGAAAAGGAAAGAAACAGTTACAATTCCATCATTACTTTCGGGCGTGTGACCCGTCACAATCGATTACTTAATTCAAAAGAACTGAGTATTCACATTCGAACTTGTAATCACATGGATAAACAGAAATAAAGTACTCACTACAAAAATACATTATCACTAAAACACGCTAACCCATAATTCGTTGAAATATTAGGACTAAGACTAAATATCGAGATCAACAACAGAGTCTTTACTCACGATGACCACTAAAAAAAGAAAAAACAAAACAAAAAAAAAAAACAAAAAAAAACGAACACGGCAGGGTCAGAATATCGTGAACAACTACTCACTCCAAACATTTCGGTGAAGAAACCCCAACCTACAAGTAAAACCCATGTCCGCAACAAAACTCATACAATATCAAATATACCTGTGCCAATAGTCTGATCTACTGGTGCCACCAGCGGAGTCTCTCCCACCTTGACAAGCCCTTAGCTCATGGGCAATCGAAGAAATTGAAACCGAACGGCGAAGTGGTCGAAAGTGTAACTCATCTCTCGGCCTCGTCGCATTCGCACAGCATCCACTGACCCATCCAGAACCCTAAAACCACCGTCGACTCAACCACTGTAAACGGGGCAGCCGCAAAGCGAAACAAGGAAAGAATCGGTGAACTGACTGGCTTTACCTCCGCGTGAGAAAATCGGTGCACACGGTGCGACGCATCGCCAGGCTGCATGCACCTTTGCGAGTAGAATTTCTTGTGGAAGGCGAGAAACTGAGCATCCCGGAAAGCGCTCGCCGTGTTCGTCTGCGAGGGACGAAGTCTGCCCATCCCTCAGGGCCTTCATGTCCCCAACGAGGTTACAAGACCTGGATGATCGAGGTCGTACCTCGTTACAAGTTACCAAGTTGCTTGTTATGTTGTTCTGGTTCTAGGTTAACAAATTACGTCATGTTGGGAATTTATTCTTGTTGGTATATCATCATTTAATTATATATATATATATATATAGATATATACTTACTAGTGGTTAAACCATTGACTTTGTTAACTTCGAGTATGCTTTTGGCAGCCAATCAAAAATAAAATAAATAAATAAATAACACAATATACCAATCAATGCTCCTTAATACAATTAAAAAAACAAAAAATGAACCCACATCAACCAAGTGCAGGTTGGGTTTGCTATTGCCACTGCTATCAGCTTGGCCTGTTCCATCAAATAAAAAATAAAGAACCTCCGATGGCTGTGTTGTGAAAATAAGAAGACTGTTAACAATAGATTAACGTCATGATTGAAGAATGTTTACAAAACCATTGATTTATGTACTTTTATCAATAAAAATAGAAAACATATTTTCATTTACTTATTGTGTTTCATAACGAAGGTTTGTGAATTATGCTTCTGAAGACAAGTGAGATTTTTAAAGAAGCTTTAAAATATCAAAAAGAATTACAACAAATTCCTTGAAACCACATACAATCTCTAGATAATCTATTCAAACTTTATGTACTTATTTTTCATTTTAGAGGTATTCTGTTTTCTGATTACAAGTACAAAAGAATTTCTCTACTGTTATTTGTTACAATGACTTATCAATTTTCTTTTGTGTTGTATTGAATGTAACCACTGCATGTTGTTTTTTTGGTAATATTTAACACATGAGAAATAGATGATTTTTTTATCTTGTTGCACATCAAATTACTATTTTAGTATTTTTCAGTTTTGAATTGACATGGTCCATTGTTAAAATATCTACTACAGACAAATTGTACTGGCCCATGCATACAGGCTACTAGCAAAAGGAGCTCAACTTTTACTGTCATTTTAGTTTAATATTTACTTTCTTTCAAATGTTATGGTTTATAATAAATATATATATATATTGAAAAAAACATTAACAAGTGGATTAATGAATTTTTAAAGAACATTTTTAGAATTGTTAAGAAATGTTAGTGAGTCTTGAATTGAGACTGGAGTACATAAAAGGTATTGGTAAGACTTAAGAAAGACTAAGTCTTGATTCCATGTATTTCTTGCTTATAAAGATATTATACAAACTTCACAAATACTACGAGATTTGCATGGCAAGTGTCTAAGTTGTGAGACGCTTTTACAGTATCTTTCTAAATCTGAAAAGCTTCTATGAGAGGTCTTTACAACCACACCAGGTTTCTAAGGACGAATTGACCTAATCTACGTACATGCAGCTTCTACAATATTTATTGAGGAAAATATTATATTTTAAAAAATATGTCTACCTACTATTTACTTCTATCTATTTAAATAGTTTAGGTGTTCATGATACACACATAAAATTACACTTGAATACATAAGTAATGTCAACATACAATCACTTTTATAACATAAATAATCTTAAGTAATATATTTTATAAAACTTTTTTTCTTTTCAAAATAGTAAGATAGTAGCAAAATAAAAAAAAATATTGTAAAATACATAACTTGTATATGTGTTTTGATATATATAAAATTTTCGATTATGTATTTTTAGAAATTATCATATTTTAAGTGAATATTTCAAAATATTAAATTATTTGACATATATATTTATAGAGTTTAAATTTTGGTGTTAAAATTTTAATTATTATCTTTTTCTTTGTATGAAAATTTTCAAATTATATGTGTATATTTGAGTTTCAAAATCTATCTTACAATATTTTTGGTCTTTATATATACATATATACAATTTTTTTTAGTTTCTTATATCTTATGTTGTACTTTTACAAATGTGAACATCAGTCTAATTACTCATAACTAATTTATAATTTATAATTTATTCTCGCATTTTTTTTACCTTTATGTTTAAGTAGAATTTCTATATATGAAAGTTTTCATGAGAAAATGCACAACTACAGGAATTAGATACTAAAATGTTAAAAAAAATAAATTCTAGTGCCTTAGTTAATAACAGAAATCAAGAAACGCACGTTTCACAATTTAACGGGAAATATTGTGATACATATATATATATATATATATATATATATACACTTGCAATTTAAAAATACCCGAGTAAAACGAAAAACAAAAAAATAACAAAAAAAATAAAACTGTCTACTTTACAAATCCCGTACATTTTCACCCAAGCAGATCCTTGTAAATTGAGCACAGGTTTTGAGGGTGGATCACCTAAATTATTACTGCAATTAGGGATAATTACTTGGCGTGTTCTTGCTGTTTTCACGCCTGTCGGGATGAGGCGACTTTGTGCAGATAGAATGTACTACTTGGGGTCCTGTTCCATTCATAAAGAATCTTTGATTCTTTCTTACAATCAGCTAGAAGTATCTAGGATACAGTATTTCTATTTAGTGTATATCCGGTAGAACTTTCGACTTTTAAGCGATCAGTTATTTATCCGGAATATGGTTTCATATGCAATCACCAAAAGCATATGTAAATTGTTTAGTGAATGCCAGTTTCAGTTACTCAACACAAATGTAGAGCTTACATTTGAAGATTGTTTCTGGTCCTAATCATTTCAGAACAATGACTCTACAGGGGAACCAAATGATTAAGCATCAGGGAAGTTAAGACTTGTACCAATACGTCTTTATTTAATAAACATGGGTATGAACCAACTTTAGGGCTTTATATAAAATCTTTACTTGTGGAACAGTATTCAGCACTGAGTGTTGGAGAGAAAAAGTTCTCAAAGCTGATCTGGCAGCATTTCAACATGTCCAACCCATCCTTTAGAACAGTACTCAGAAATAAAAGCAATCAGAATGTTAAAAAGATGTTGCAACTTGTATGAAAACCAATACGTCAGTAACATTGACCTGAGATTAAGCAATGACCCACCATATGATATCCTGCTTTCGTCCAGAAATAAGCTGACATTTGAGCACCTAGACTGGAGTGTGATACACGCTGCCAAAAGCAGTTAAACAGAACTTTCAGAGAAACTTGCGCACTACTTATGAACACTAATAAGAGGTTCCCACAAATTAACTAGTTCTAGTTTGATAGTACTAAGAAGAATCTTTTGTCACGTCAGCTTTTTCAGGTACAGCAGCGTCATCAGACTTAGATTCCACGCTCAACTTGCCCATCAAATCTGCTGCACTGTCAGTCTCCTCATCCTTCTCCTCTGTGGTCCCTGACACCTTCTCTTGAGCACTCTCATATACATCCTTAAATTTCTGAGCACCTGTTTCATAATAGAGAAAAGATTAAAGAAACGAACAATAGACAACCTGGCACACAACAATAGATACTCAAATCGCAAACCTGGAAATATATAACACAATGCACCGCCACGGAAAAAAACTTGAAAAACACGGATATAAACTTTGAACTTACTTTCAAAATTTCCAAAACGCATGCAGAAGAGCTCCTCCTTCAGTTCACCATCTGAGTAATCCTGGGCATGCCAGACCCAAGATTTATCGCTACCCGCATGCTCTTGCAATTGAGTGGATGCAGTGACTGCACAGGACAGGTACTTGATGGAGTTGGGCGATATTTTTGAAAACAGATGTGGACATGGACACTACGCAGCACTACCCTCTAAACAAAACAGTTTTCTGGCCTGAGCGCAGAAAGCAAAGCCGCAGGACTAATGAGAATTGGGTGTGTTGAGTCAAATAGAACTTTTGATGCACCTAACCACCATGCATAACACCTGCCAAAAACTCCTAATTCCAAAAGTCTCCATAACCTAAAATGCAGAGGGCACGCAATATCGAGTAGTACGAGGATGATATTTGTGTCTCCGAGTTCTCCTACCCTGCAGTTCCCCAATAAATGACCATCGCTTCTAACGGAAATTACGATCATAGCTGGCTTCTGAATCCACAATAACTGAAAACACAAATATGCCTCGATAAAGACCTACACCATTGAAAAACCAACAGAACAGATAGAAAACATAGGATAGACACAGCTCACGTTTTACAAACAAGACAATAAGGTCGTACGTCGAACTATCAAGCTTACCCATATGGTTAGCGCAGATCTTGAGGGTCCTATTTTGTCGCATGAGGAGGCGAACCTTTTTAGTTGATTTGTGCTCTAGAAGCTTCACTTGCCCAACGCCCCTCTCCTTCCATTGCGTTCCTTCCTTGTCAAAACGATACAACTTAGCTCTCCTGCAAATACAAAACAAACCAATTCACTCTCATGAATGAAAGTACAAAATCATTCCACACAAACCAACGTATCCAAAACGAAAAAAAACAAGAAGAACACCGAAGTAAAACACTTCCCGCGAGATCCGTGATCGCACTCATCTCATCACTCCTCCGATCAATTCACGAAACCCTAATTCAATACTCCCAATCAGATCCAAAAAAAAACTCCGATATCCCACAACTCACATATCAATCAGCACGTTCTCATTTTCCTCTCCAGTACTAACAGCGACCTCCTCCAACTTCACGATTGGAGCGATCTGGGCGCCAGTGTCTTCCTCTTCTCCCGTGACCTTCGAAGAGTCCTCTGTTTCCTCCTCAGTAGCTTCCGACGTCGTCGTGGTCTCACTCACGGTCTTCACCTCCTTCTCCTCGTCTCCGGCCATGGTGGGTCAATCTGATTCGCGATCGATTGTGCTCGGAATCTGCTCAACACAACAGAAATTGGCAGTCAAAGCAGATCGAGATTAGGGGAGAAAGTTAAGCATCCGACGAGGCCGTCGGACCCTTTTGTACAGAGCACTGACCTAATCCGACCGACTGCTGGTCGGTGGATCACGTGTTCTGATCTGGGTCCAGGGGCCTGGTCGGCCGACTCCTCGTTGAGTACCAGATATGGCGAGGCGGTTCCAGGAGTTTCCAGAACGGAGAGTTGGATGCCGGTGCGGAGTAAATGAAGGGCTGAGTACTGCCCATATGCGCCCGGTGCTGAAGCTCGGACAACTCTGACCCTCTTCCAGAGCTGGGGTGGGGGGGGAACCCTTTTCCCACCTGCGAACCCCAAACTTGGCGGATTGGATTAATGTCTCATTGTGTTCCTTGTTGGAAAGTGGTTCCATTCCTCATGTTTTGCTATATTAATTCTTCTTCCAAAAGTGTCACTATTTCAACTGTTTTGAACTTATTCATCATGCTTTTCGAGAATCATAGAGCATGCAATCTTGTATTTTACTTCTTTTATGTCGTTTTAATTTTGAGTTTTTATGATAAAATATTCAAATTATTTTCATGGCATAATTTAATTTTGGTTATTATTTTCCTTATTATTGTTGATATTATTATTCCATAACTTGCTCATTGAGATTTTTTTAACATTGGATTCAATAAGCAAAGCATGTTGTGATTAAGGATTGTATATGTTCAATTATATATATATATATATATATATATATATATATATTATGCATCAAATGTTAAAAAATATTCTAAATTATTATAATAATAAAATATAAATATATTTTTTATAAAATACACCAAAAAAGTGAAATTGAATATAAAATTTATTTATTTTTAATACATAAAAAAATTCTAATGGTTTGTAATTAACTGATGTATATATATATATTTGAAATATTTGATAATTTAAAGATATAATATTTTCATAGTACTAATTTTTTAATTTTAAAAAATAAAAAATAAAATATATATTTATAGTTATTCCAAATAATACAATAAATTTATGAAAATACATAGCCAATTAAAAAATGATTGCACAAACATATGCATAAAAATGTATTAATTAATAAGTCATTTTAATAAGAAATTTTTGAGAATAAATAAATCTATATTTATATATAAAATGAGGAGTCTTGTCAAAAGTTGTTGAAATTTTATAGTAAACTTTTAAAATGAGTTTTTTTTTTTTTTTTTTTTTTTTTTAATATATATTTGTAATATTCTTCAAAATAAAGACATGTGCTTTTTTTTAGAACTATAAAAAAGTATTATTTGGTCCATGTTGTAGATTCTTTTCACTTCAAACTATCTTTACAAGTTGAAGCTTCTTAAGAACAAATCTTCTTCATTAAGAGCAAGATATTTATAAGCCTTTTGCACTATGCCTTTTTGAAGTAGTTTCTATGTATAAAGACCTTGTAAGGTACACAACACTTAAAAAAGAATAGATTTAAAATAAAATGATGCAAATTTTGTTTCTCTTTATATTATTTTTAAAGTTATTAAATGTAATATGTATATATATATATATATATATATATATATATATATATATAATCAAACTTTAAAGTGCATATTTAGTTATGTATTTAAAAAAAATTAAATACACAAATATATTTTTGAAGCCATTAAGAATTTTGTTTTTAATTTGGTTTTTTTTTTTTTTTTTTTTTTTTTTTTTTTAATTGTATGACTAAAGTAATGTATTTATTATAATACCCTACAAAAATAATTTAGAGGTCTTGAAGGTGCACAAATCCCTTTTGCTACATGGACACACCTCTCTCCATGCCATGCACCCCCACATAAACACAATAGGATCCTTACATATACTAAAAAAATTTAAGATTAATTTACACTAAAAGATAACCTAAATAAAATTATAAATCCTTTTGAAGTAAATAAAAGCATTGAATATTACGTATTATATATATATATTTAATAAAATTTAAAATTAAAATTAAAGTAAATACCATAAGTCATTCCATACAAATCATTTATTGTAAACTTGTTTCAAAAGATTTAAGTGTAAATAAAAGTTTTATTATGTATATGTAGACCTTGCTATAAAAAAAGGTTGTCTATCTAGTGATTCCCCTATTTTCTATTTCAATTTATTTATCTTATAATTTAGAATATCTACACAAATTTAAATAAATTCTTTTAAGATAATAAAATCTTATCTATAGTTAATTATTTCAACTATATTAAATGAATTAATCAATTTTTAAAATAGCTTTACAAATCCTCTTTGGCATATTATTTCAAATTTCCAGGTTTAGGAAGTTGACATAGTTCATTTAGAGATTCTTCATGTGTATATTCTTTATATGTTTTCTTTTATTTTAAATCACAATAAGAATATATATGAGAAAAGGTGGGACCAAAAAAGTTAAATAATTAATAGTAACATATATAAATATTTTCATATACATATATTGATTTTTAAGCACTTGTTTTTGTTTTTAGATATATTTTGGAAAATTATTAGATTTCAAGGTTTTTGTGGGCAAGGAATGGATACATTACCATATCAATCTTAATTTGTACAGATACATTTTTTATATCTTAAAGGAGCAAAACAAGATACATTCTTATTGGTGTTCTACTCAACACAAATACTTACCAATATATCAATTATCTGTGTTGTGAATATATCACAAATGATATAAGAAAAATAATTAAATAACCTATAAAAAAATGAATTTTGTACTTTTTAAGAAATAAACACTATTATATATTTTTCATTATTTTAAAAAAGAAAAAAGGAATAGGAATTTATATCTTATAAATGGGATTACAGATGTTATTTTATTTCATTTTTAGAGACTTTTTATAATAATGTTGTTTTTTGAGATGAAATGACCCCTATCGATATAATAATGCTATTTTAGAGAGAGTTTTAAGTGTGCCATGAGAATACTTAGTTAACATTAAGATTTCAAAACCTTCATAGAAGTCAAGAAGTTCTACCATGAAATTTTAATTGAGTCTGATGATATTTGAGACTTTGTAACGTCTAAAATAGCTTATTATAAACCTTGTGGCAAACTTCTACATGAATGTGATTTCCTTTAGGGTATGTACTTACTGTAGAGATAAACTTTGCTTTTTTTTTTATAAGCTCTGAAATAATCTAAAAATAATTCATTATTTTTTTCTTTTTTTCCAGAATATGTAACACAATTCTGCAAAAATAAGAGATAAAAACCTTGTTATATATATATATATATATATATATATATATATACGTATCGTTTATAAAACAAAAAAATTAAGATTTCAAAACATTGAAAGACCTATAAAAAATTATTCTTATATGCAATAAATAAATAAATAAATATTCAATTCATCTATCTTAAAGAATTATTAGTTCTATTTTTAATTATAATTAATAACTGATATATGTAAAGGTACTATATGATAATAATAATCATAAGAAGTTTTTATTTTTTAAACCTAAAAGTGGTTCCAAATAGTTAAGATAAGTTTTTGGTTGTGCAATAAAAAAAATATATGTACAAAAATAAGCAATCTAAAGATCTTATAGGTAAATCAAAACAATGTAATGGTAAAAAAGGGATTGAGAGTTCAAGTTTGGATAATGAATTACTCCAATGTTGACACAAAAAAGTGTATTTTATTATTATTTTGAAATATGTTTCTTTCATTATAAAAAAGAATGCTATACACCTATTGTAATATATATATATATATATATATATTTACATAGTTTAATCATTGGCTTTGCTAATGTTGAGTATGTTTTTGGCAACCAATCAAAAAAAAAAAAAAAAAAAAAAAAAAAAAACACACACACACACAATATACCAATCAATACCTCTTACTACAATTAAAAAATAAAATAAAAAATGGGGCCACATGAGCCAAGTGTAAGTCAGGTTTCATTTGCCATTGCTACTATTGCTAGACCAACATGTTCCATCCTTCTAATCCCAATAACTTGGCGATAACTGGATTTAACCACCCTATTGTTCCAATCAATGGGATTTTTTGATGTCGTAGCCAAATGTAGGCTATAATTTAGGCTATATATTTGTATTTTCTATTTATATACATTTAAAATAACTATTGTTTTAAATTGTAAAATCAAATGCATTTACCACCACAAGCAATGTTTGGTTGCTTGAACCTTTGTTGACAATTTTGAGTTTATAATATGGTATCTTATTGAATGTTCTTCAAATTCTGTGTAAGTTTCAAAGATACAATAATATTATAATCAAATTTGGCCTCATCAAACAATTGGTACATATGTTGCTAAAAGTTTTTTAAATCATTGTAAAGAAATCATTTTGATTGTCTTCTGAAATTTAATCTCGTCAAAAAATAAAGAAGTCACTATTGTAATCAGTTAGACAACGCTCAAGATGCAAATAGATAGTTTCTGATAAATGGAATGTGTTAAAAAAATAGAAATTCGTACTTGATTAAGCAACAACGCTAATGCAAACTACATTTTGACATACATATCACATGCTTTCAAAAACCAAACGACTCTTGTACATACACACTTAGACCAATGACTCTTTTCCTCAAATCCCTCGTGTTGAATTAACACCCAATGGAGACTTTACACTCCATTTGAAATAAAAAAAACAATATGAAAACAACATAAAAACAACATAAAAACTTAAACACTCCATTGTGAAAAACAAGCTCCTCTCTTCACGTACACTGAACTTCATCTTGTGCTTCGCTTCGGCAATGCTTTCTCGTGTGCCCAAGTTTAATTGTCATTGCTGGGACGTATTCCGCGGGATTGTGACTTTTTAGGGTCCCGGGAGCTTAAGTCCTTCTGGCTCAAGAATCGGAGCTCGAAGACAAATTTTGCACCGAGGATGGAGGCGACGCTTTCGTAGCTGTCCGCGTAGCGTTTCGCTGCTGCCGCACATTTTGCTTTGTCTGTTAGGAGCTGTTTCTGTCTCTCTCGGTGGTCATGCCAGCTTGTGAGTTCATTTTTTTTGAAATTGTTTTTACCTCCTGGTGATATCGAAATGTGCTCTTGAGAGCTTAGCTTTTCTGATTGCGTAAGCACAGCGTGGGAGAGAGAGAGGGATGGTGAGTGTTGAGATTTGGTTTTGTTGAAAGGATAGAGGCGTTGTTTGGGGAGGCGACGTCATGATTTTCCGAAGCTGGCGAGTGCCCGTTAAGGGTTGGAATGATGAAGGGAAGGTCATCTCTGTTGGGGATTATCTGCGCTTAGCTCTGAATCTGGGAGAACGTGGTAGCGGAGCTTTATGTTTTGTGATAGTCGAGTACTCTTTCTTGGATTTGTATGGAAGTATTTAGTAGCCCAGACCGAATTTAGTCGGTAGGGTTGATGTGACGATTGTCGGCGTTAGCTAGTTGCCTTCCATGTCGAGAGCCAATTAGAGTTCCGATTCTGAGGTTATCGAGGCTGGTCTTATTAGAAGAGTATCTCTATGGCACTGCCTTTTGTATTAAGCCGTAGATGCATCATTGGTTTTTCTTAGGAATTTGTATTTCAGGACAGGATAGATTTGGTGAAAATCTTGTAAATACCAGTCCTGTAGCATTTTAACCGCGACGTTGCTAGACAATTTCGAGAACCTATTGAAACTCGAAAATGCAGACTCCCCCGTTTCTTCACCTGGAAACGATGAATTGCCGTGAAGAAGCGGAAGCCGTGTTCTGTTAATGACAATATATATTTGGACATGCTGGTGTGAAGATTTGTTGTTGATTAACAGAATCATCTGAAGGACTGAAATATAATTAGGTTCTACGTGACTAAGTACAAGGTAGGCCCAGTAGGAGTAGGGATTGTTATGCCCCTAATTGCGAGCCAAAACAGATTTGGTTTTTGGCTTCTGTGGGTACTTGCTAATCGAAGCAAATTTTTAAGTCGGTGCTTTTGAAGCCAGGGAAAGGGGCAAGTTCAGTGTACGTGAAGAGAGTAGCATATGGCAATTAACAACCGAAGTGCCGATATGGTGTGGGAATGTGAGGGTTGCGCACACTTGTAGCTAGAAGGGGGGAAAGGGGAATCTGAACATGACCCATCGGATTGGGAAGGATGAAGGATGACACGGGCATGGACAATGCTACAGTGGCACTATACTCGGAGGTGCTGGCGAGGATACCGAAGGAAGTTGAGCTCGTTGAGGAATCTGCCAAAGGAGTGTTGATAGGAAAGGAGAGTTTCAGAGTGTTGTCCAGATATCTTGAGAGTATTCGCTCAGTTCTGCAGGAGCTCACTGGCAAGAAGGTGAGCGACCCTGCGGCTATGCAGGTTACTCTGATATCCTTAGAACAAGAAATAGTAAAGTTGAAAAACATCATCGACAAGTTCTCCTCAAAGAGCAAGTTCTACCTCATTTTAAAATGTCAGGATTTTCTCAAGGAAATTGAGGACGTTACTCATGAGCTTGGTTATTGTTTGAATTCCGTTCCCGTGGCCAATTCAGACCTAGCCGTGGAGATTCAGGAAATGATGTCCAAGTTGTCTAGTGATATGCGTAAGGCTCAGTTTAAACCTGCCACGGTTGAGGAGGCCATTATTAATGAAATCAAAGTTGGTATCCATGACCAGCAGTCGAACTCTAAGTATGCGAATTATCTGCTGTTGCAAATTGCAAGAGCAGTTGGGGTCTCAACGAATCCATCGTCTCTTAAGTTGGAGCTGGATAGTCTCAAGAAAGAAAAGGAAGATGCACGCTCACGGGAGAACCAGGAAGAATATCGGTACCTTGAGCAGATAATTGCGATACTTAGTTGTGCGGATGCAGCCACTTCTGCAAGTGAAAAGGGTTTAAATTATCAAAAGAAGAGAGGTTTGGGTGGTTGGGGTGGACATCCCCTTCCGCCTCTGCAATCCTTCTACTGCCCAATTACCCATGAAATTATGGAGGAGCCAGTTGATATAGCGTCAGGTCAAACATATGAAAGGTATGCGATCGAGAAGTGGTTTTCCGCTGGAAATTCTAATTGTCCCATCACAAAAGTTGAGCTTGAGAACCTTCAGATCAAGCTGAACCTTGCATTGAAAAAGTCCATACAAGAATGGAAAGAGAGGAATATAGCTATCAGTATCGCCGCCACAAAGCCAAAGCTACAAAGTACCAGTGAGAGTGAGATTTGTTCTGCGTTGAGGATGTTGCTGGATTTGAGTGAAGAGAAGGGTATCCATCGGTACTGGATTGCTCTTGAGGGTCTCATTCCGTGTTTAGTTCAGCTCCTATCATCTAGTCAGAGAACCGTTCGTAAGGAGACTCTTGAAGTGCTTCGTAGTCTGTCTATCGACAACAAAGAAAACAAGGTATTTCGGTCAAATCCTTCAATCCCAATTTCGTTTTTTTTGGTGCTCATCACGTCTTTGCTTGTATTTCTCTAACAATTTGAAGCTTGAGACCTTGTGATTTCTTTGAGGAAGACTTTCTTTTTCTTTTTCCTTTCTTTTCACGAGGGTAAATAATGTGAAAGTAATTCCGTGATGCTGGTTTCGGTGAATGCAATCAGGAGCACATTGCAGCAGCGGGGGCAATCAAGTTAGTAGTGAAATCGCTGGCTAGGGACTTAGGAGAAGGTAGACAAGCAGTGGCACTGTTACGAGAGCTCTCCAAAGATCCTGAAATCTGCGAGAAGATTGGTAAGGTACAGGGATGCATTTTACTGCTCGTCACTATGTTGAATGCCGAGAACCCTCACGCTGTAACTGATGCCAAGGAGCTTCTCAATGATCTTGCAAACAATGACCAGAACGTTGTTCAAATGGGCGAAGCAAATTATTTTGGACCTCTCACCCAACGTCTGAACGAAGGTGAGGTTGCGGTGTGAGAAATTTCGCACGTTTTCTCTCATTTAAGTCCATTATTCTTGATACTCACCTATTTCCATTGAGACACCAGCTATTTTGAATTAGGGAGAGAAGTAAGCAACGTGTGTCAAAATGTAAGGCGTCCCATTTGCTAGTTGTGTTACATTTCTTTCCAGTGGGTCAAGTTTGCTTGTTTAATGTGCTCGATGACAATGTCTTAAAGATTGCCAAGTGATTTAATGCCATGAAAAATCATCATGCTATTCTCTGGAGGGACTCAGTACACTTGAAATCTAAACAATGTCCAATCTCATGAGTTCCTCAATTCCCTTGAGATACTCGTACCATTTTAAAAAGAGGTAGAAATTACCATTCCAGGTGCATCTGTAGATGACATGTTGCGCTTTTGCTGATTCTTGTTCTCTTTGTATTTCGGTAACCTACATCACTGCAGGATCACTGTTCACCCAAAATTTAGCTTTCTAAGAACGAGTAATCTCAGAAATTCCCATAACCATATTGTGATGTGTATTGATTCCCTCTAGAGAGTAGTCTGTTGACTTATCACGGCTTCAAACCACTTTTTGTTTAAACACATTGCCGAACTTCACTTCCGTAATGATCCATTACCTACCTGATGGTCAAGCGGCACTTATGGGTTTCTACTTGACTTTCTTCTTGTCAGGTTTCTACTTGACTTAACTTTTTCTCTTCTCTCAGGTCCGGATATGGCGAAAATCCTTATGGCTAACGCTTTGTCACGGATGGGGCTGACGGACCAAAGCAAAGCAGCTCTTGCAGCGCAAGGAGCCATTCCACCTTTGGTGAGCATGATCTCTATAGGAAAATTGGAAGCAAAAACGGCAGCTTTGGGAGCATTGAAGAATCTCTCAACGCTGCCTGACAATCGAGACACAATGATTGAAGCTGGGGTAATTCCTCCACTTCTACAGCTCTTATTTTCCGTGACTTCTGGCATGACGAGCTTGAAAGAGAATGCAGCTGCTACTCTTGCAAATCTCGCCATGGCGAGCACGACAGCAGAAGACAAGATTGACCACCATTATAACATTCTCGAATCAGATAAAACCATGGTCCATTTACTGTCGTTACTCAACATTGAAGGGGCAGTCATTCGGGGACATCTACTCCGTGCACTTCTGGGCATGTCCAGCATCCCAAATGCTCGGGAAGTGCGAACCAAAATGCGAAAAGTTGGCGCCATCCAGCTTCTCCTTCCTTTTTGTGAGGATACCGTTGAAGATGTTCGTATTCACGCGCTCAAGCTTTTGAAGTGCTTGTCAAGCGAGGGAGCAGGGAAGGATATTGCTGACCACTTAGGGCCGAGCTACATAAGAGCATTGGTGAAGTTGCTTGGGGACTCGAGTGGAGATGAAGAGAAACTCGCGGCTGTGGGGATTATTAGTAATCTCCCCACCACCAGCGCTCAGATGACGGATATCCTCTTGCAAGCCGACGCATTAGCTGCCATTGTGAACCTCCTTATCCCCTCGAGGGGATTGAAGAGTAGCCCTCGGGCTGTGCGGAATGCACTCTCAGAGAGCGCTACTGGAGCTCTCTTACGTTTCACGTCTCCTGAAAACCCCAACGTTACAGCACACCGTCAAAAAGCAGCTGACCTCGACGCAATCCCTCGTCTTGTCACGATTTTGCAAACTGGGACACCATTGGCGAAGTGCAGGGCTGCTATTGCTCTCGGTCACTTTTCTCTCAGCAGCGATAGTCTCGCTTCAATAGACAACGTCCCCCAGTCGTGCTTGCTCTGGTGCAGACCCGCCACGCCCGCGGGTTGCTGCATCCATGGTGGCCCTTGCACCGTAAAGAGTACGTTTTGTTTGGTGATGGCACAAGCAGTGCTACCTCTAGTGCAAGCGCTGGAAGAGCAAGAGGACGGAGCTGATGACGCAGCGCTCACTGCCCTCAGAACGCTTCTTCTCAACGATGCAACCCTGGAGAATGGAGTTAAGGTGATAGCGCAAGCGCAAGGCATCCGTCCCATCGTTCGGTTATTGACGGTAGGGAGTGTGGATGTCAAGGAGAAGGCAGTGTGGATGCTCGAAAAGATTTTTCGCATTGAGGAGTACAAGGTTGAGTTTGGGAGCGCAGCGCAGATGCCGCTGATTGACTTGACGCAGAACGGCTCCATCGTAACGCGTCCTCTGGCAGCCAAGATCCTGGCGCATTTGAACATCCTCCACAGTCAGTCGACGTATTTCTAATAGGGTTTTGTAGTGGGACGGAGAGAAAGCTGTGTCCCTCGAAGTGTTTGTGATTGTAACTTGGATCGCATGTAATTTTCTCCCACATTTGTATTATCACGCATTCTTTTGTGCTCGTTGCGAATCAAGAGGTAACTGGTACAATTTTGTCGATCCTGGAGTCTAACTGTTGCTGCAAGTGGGCGTGTTCAGATTGATCGAGCATCTCACATTCTTTTGTATGCGCGTCTGTTGCTAGCTCTTGGACTGGAAATTCAGTAGGATGCCTGATCTGTGCTGTGGAGAGGTTCATTAGATTGTCCAGAGTTCCATGGGTCAATGGAAAAACGTTTTGCTCTTCAATACATAGGAATGTAAGAAATTAGAGGTATTATAGCATGCGTCTTGGGGTCTTTGTAAACATAATTGACAACCTATGCCATGTACTGCACTAACAAGAAACTGCCAGTGATATACTTGAGGAAGGTGGGGATGACGATGGGAAACTCATGATGAAATCTGAAATTGTGTTGCAACAATCAGTTAAATATGGTAGGAATTGTGCTGCTTTTAGCAACTTATTTAAATTCGGGACAATTGGAAACCTGATACAAGAAGTTTGGAGGTAACGAAAGTCGGTGATGTATGCTTATATCATGTACAATGGCTTGCGCGACCTAGGATTTACGCTTGTTGGGCAGTAGAAAAATGTTACAAGAGTCATTATGGGGCTGACGCATGGCCTCCACCAATGTTCGATTGCAGCCATTCATGTTTACGTGCGGTGGTCCATTGTCACCTAGTCATTGAATCATGATCTTGTGCCTAAATTCCTTGTATTTGTAAACTCAGAATAAGTAAATGACCAACTGATGATGTGATGGCTTAGGGAACAAAATGACAACCCAAATTGTGCGAGCAGGCTAGCAGAGGAGTGGTGAGGACACAGCTGCATACATCTTGAGCATCACTCGCTGCTGCACCTGCGGACGCACCATCAGGTGTTCACGACGGCGAGTACGTTAATGATTCACAGACTAAATCACACACTTCAGTTTTCGTCGCGACTCTGGAGGCACCTCAGAGATTTTCGTCAACTCATATATTCATCCCCAGGACTGGGTATTTCCGACAATGGCTCAGCAGGTACTTGAAAGAGTAAATGTAACTAAGAAAACTAGACTTATCACTTATCCTCACTGCATCGAATTTGCCAATACAACGTCCACCGGAATAATGCAGGCATGTACAGAGCAATATGGAAGTAGCTGAGGATGTGGAAAGCTGCCAACAGAGGAGGCATCACTCAACAGTTACAGATAATAGGATTCCTATCATGGATTGGCATGTTTCATTTCCGAATGGCATCATCTTTCACAAGTGCTTGATCGACTATTAAGAAGACCAATTCTTAATCCTATGAGGCGATTCCTGAGATGGCTTGACATTCATCTCTCAATCCAAACTACCAACAGGCTGAACACCACCTGTCTGCTCTTATAACTTCACCATTTCTTGCGCTCCCGAGATGGGATTATGGCGGGGACCTAATACTGTACACATCATGCGATCTCTGTAATATGGACAATTCTAATGCTCCAATGACCTATTCCTACTTTGCACATTCACATGCGCATATAGCGTAGAGCCTCTGCTGTCTGCAGAGCAGACTCCTAGTCACCAAATGTATTCAATCGACCCGTAATTGTTGCGAGCTAATCATTGAGATAGTTTTCACACTTGAAGCAATTGGAGACAATTCCTACGAACGAAGAGTCTGCAGATCAGCGGCCAAATATAGTGAAACTTCTCTGATCACTAAACCTCGAGCTACCAACTAGGAACAGGATGTGTTTGAGTTCTGCTGAAAGAGCTCAATCACTATCCTCTCGGTTCGTCATGGAGCGTGAACGCCACACAAGTGGCTTGATGGTCCTGCCCAACCGCCGTGAAGCTCTAGGGGTGACAGACTCGCGCTCGTCATCAGATGTGGAGTCTAAAATTTTCAATGACAAGCTCTTTTTCAAAGAGAATCTGTCAGTATCTTGGCTCATCACAACTCTCCTTGGTTCGAGTCGCCTCCTGGATTTCCTTGATGGTGACGACCTTCGTGCGCTGAGACTCCTGCCCCAGTGAAGCGCTCCATCCACAGGATATGGAGCAGAGATGGAGTATTCTTCAATTTTCAAGTCTGGCAAATCGTTGACCTCTACCTTTGGTAGAGAGCTCACCTCTTTCTCGATGGGAACGTACTCCTCAGACGATTCAGCTGCCAATTCAGCTACAACTTTCTCCTCCTTATCAGCTGCTGCTGCTGGAGGAGCATCATAGTAGTATGATACTTCGTCCAGGAGGCTTGGACTTGTTAACGCAAGTTTGTCAGAAGCGTACATGAAGCCATGTCTGCGTCTTCTAGAATATGGAATCGAAGGTGAGGATGGCACTGAAGGTCTTCGAGGTGATGACGCTACCGAAGCTGGTGTAGGAGATGCTGCAATTGAGGCTTGTCGAGGTGACGCTGCCATCGTGGTTTCACGAGAAGATGACGCAGTAGGTGAACATGTCCGAGGAGACGCTGCTACCGAAGCTTGTCGGGGTGATACTGCTGCACCATCTACATCAGAAGAAGCTGCTACTGCTAGTGGGGTTGTGCGTGGTGAAAATGCTGCAGGAGTTGTGGAGATTGGCAATGCGGCCTTTTCGATCGAAGCTACTTTTGTACTTCCATGGGGAACATCATTCCCATGCATACGCTCTGTTGCAAAATTCTCCAAAATGCGGTTGGGGGGCGGGTCGGCGTCGACTGGCTTTCTGATCGTCGCGGCTCCACAGGCTAAGTCTGCCCTTGCAACCGGCATGTGAGGACTAACCTCAGGTGCCTGTTCGGATGTTGTCTCCTTCAGAATTGTATCGGGGGCCACGGACTTGGCTAGATTAATATTCGATTTGTTGGCTGTGCTCACATTGAATGACCGAGGTTGTAAATCATCGTAATTTACTTGAATTGGCGATGGTCGACGAGCATGCGTCCTCCTCCTCGGGTAGGATAGTACCTTCACTGCCTGTTCGGAGGCCGTGACATGCTTTTCCTTCGCGGTTTCTGCTTGCTTCACCTGGGTTTCGGTTGTTTCCTTCGGAATCCCATCGTACACCCATTGAGGAATCTTCTCCACCGGGTTACTAAGGGGAACCATACTTGAATTCGGCAGGCGGGGTGAGAATCCTTTTGGGGGCAAAGGTTGCAAGCTTTGCAAGAGGCGAGGAGAAAATTGGGGAGGAGGCAATACCTTCTCTGACATAAGGCCTCTTGAAGTACGAAGCACAAGAGGAGAGTAGCCACTAGATGTCCTGCTCTGTTTCTCCGTCCGCGATGTCTTCAGGTGGCGAAGGAGCGGAGTTTCTCCAGCAATGTCAGGTGAAGCACCAATGGCTATCTTGTTTCTATTCTTCTCTGAGGCCTCCACTGCGTGTCCTTTGCTAGCTGAGACACTTGCCTTCGCATTCAACTGAGGACTCATTGCTTCCTCATAAAGAATAACTTGCGGCTTTGTGCCGCTCGAATTCTCCAATCTAGAGCTCTTCACGTCCGCAGAGCTCCCAGCATTTCTTGGGAGTGAAATGGGAGGTGTGGATCCACCCATTTCCGCGTACAGCAGCTTGTCGATAGACTGCAAAGCTTGAACATCTGACACGCGCTCCACAACCACACTGTTCGTCGGAACTGTATGCATCTCTTGTGTGGGCTGGCAAATTCTGTTCACTTGCTTTTCTCTGCCCGTGCAGATTGGTGCAAAAGAAATGTAAGGCTGCAGAACGGACTCCTTCAAAACCACCACTACCTCTTCCTGATTTCCAGATGTAGGCGTTGGTGGCATTGGTGGGAAGGAACGTGTTAAATTCTCCCTGTGTGCCACTAGAGCTGAAGCAGCCCCTGCATCGCGAGCCACAGCAGGAGCTGGAACAGAAGCTATAGGACATTTTTCTTCATGGATTTCTGATCTAGTTCGTTTAACGGGAGACACCGATGACACGTATTCATTGCTTTCATCTCTTCCGGAAATGGACGTAGGGATTACTGATGTAGCTGGTGCCAGTGATCTTGTCGACGTCTGAATTACTGGTGTAGGTAAGGTCTGGTCCTCTTGCTCTCCCCATCCTGGTCTTGACTCATACTCCATGACCCACTTATCCAACCAATCTTCGTCGCTTTCCACAGCCGCTGGCGTCGGTGGATTGTTCTCCACTGGTTCTGGACGTAATGGCACTGACACACGTGTCGTCGTGGCTCCACCAACACTTCCTTCAGTCCATGACGGCGTTACAGGAACAACGTTGATGTTCGCATAATGGTTACGGTGACGATTGTCGCGATGACCGTAGTGGTGACCCAAGGATTCAATTCTTAGTCCGTCCCTGGGCATCCATGTGCTGATTCCTTGATCTCGCCTGAGATGATTCTCGAACTGCCCAGGCCCGCCCTCCGCCTTAATCTTCTCCATTTGGGAGCCCACACTCACAAGCGCCACCACGCAGAGCGCGGTGGACATGAGAAGCGGGGAGAAATATACCACGAGGGGGAAAAAGGGCGGAGTGAAAATGAGGATTAGCATGCCTGTCAGAAACGGATGGTTCCATAGCAATGTCACAAATCCCAAAGCCTCCCTCACTCGCGCTTCTCCCCTCATTGCAACCCACTCACAATTGTACCCTCACTTTCTAAAAATTGCGATTTCTGGTCTCAGTGCAACATGAAGAGAACCAAAATCACGAAAACTAGACAAAATAAAATAAAATAAAATAAAAAATACTAATCAATTTCATAAAATCCTTCAAGACTAAAAGAACACGAAAAAAGAAAACAAACGCCTCAAATGAGCCGTCGAAAGAGAACCACTGTATACACACTATCTAAATCCCCACTCTAGCTCGACGATTTCAAGTGTCACAGGCTTCGGAATTTCAAGATCCGCTCGAACTTCTCACCAAGAAAGCTCAGCAGCAGTTAGAAGTAAGAGGATAACAATACGGAGCTGCTAGAGCGGCTCCTCGCTCCAAGCACGAACCCAAATTGTGATCCCATCAGACCCATGTCATCCTCACCCGGGCCCCCTCCCGCACGCGAAACCGTGGCAGGGTATTGCAGCATAATTGCACGACCTGCATACACCAAAGTCCCTCTCTCTACGACCTTCGAGGCTCCCCCACCCCACCCCACCCCACTCCCCACACGGCACAAACTGCAATAACTCGAGGACGCGCACTCGAGTGCAAAACAACAACAACAGAAGCCCAACTGCTCCCCCGCCCCTCAAGCAAGGCTGTAAGCGGGCTCTCGCGCCTTCCGTTGCAAACGACAAACTGGCAAGATACGAGAATGAAAATCCGAATCCAGAGAGGTGGTGGGGATAAAAGCGGGCAGGCAGTGGGGGCAATGATGGAGGCGGGCGTGCATGAGACACGCAGAAAAAGCGTGAACACACTCTCTTAACTTCACCAGCGAGGGAGGAAGGCAGGAAGCAGGCTGGCTATGGAGGGTGCGCATCGCAGGTAAGTGGCAGACTGTGCTACCAGTGCGGGTTGCAGCTATGTAAGACCAACACGACGTGCTGCAGCAAACTCGATTGCGACCTCACGGACCACTGAGGATTCAGCTCTCTCGAGACTGTAGCACAGACCCAATCTCTCTCTCTCTCGCTCGCTCGCTCGGCGATTGTCAGGGCTCGGCTGAGCTGCTGCTACTCATGCATCTGATACTACTGCGACTGCAATCACCAGCCTCGCCCTTCCATCATGGGCACCATGCGGCAGCGCGCATTCCTGCAGAACCTGAACGATGATTCCGCTACGTGGCAGGGATCATCCCTCCTCTTTGCCCCTGCCACGTAGGACGTCAGTCGCCCGGGTCGGGGGAATATGCCCCCCCACCCGTTATCGCCCGACCCGGGCGGGGATTTACTTGCCCTTTATCTGCGATTAGACACTTCGACCAGCTCCAGTCTCACATGCAGGCAACGCCGCTGCTACTGTAACTCGTCAGTTTCTGTGGCTGTTCGGTGCTTTGTACTCCATGTAGAAATAGTTTGGTTTGGTTTGGTTTTGCTTCTTTTCTTTCTCTCTCTCTCTCTCTCTCTCTTTATTTATTTTTGGTGTTTTCTGTGTTTTTTTTGCTTGTTTTTTGGTTTCTATGTTTTTTATGCTTGTATATGAAATTCAACCATCCCATTCTTCAACAATCCTTGCCTCTGGTCCAAGTGCCCAAATTATTGCATCCCCCTTTGCCCAGATTCAAGGTTGCCCTCATATATATATATATATATATATATATATGTAATCCATGTCCTGCATTCCAATTCACTGTTTTTGATACACGGTTCAGCATCTCTTGATTACTATGGAGGTTGGGAAAAGCATGTCCTGATTTATCTGTATCTTCATGGTTGGCTTATCAGATTAGTCTTGGTGGTGGTTGAGATTCACTATGCCATGACTGGGGTGAGCTCAGATTACATATATTATCAAAACTCTACGACAAGGTTTTCAAATGTAAGCACACATTTGGTAGCTGGTTTCTGATATTTATATCTCTGTCAATAAAAACCTCATCAAAATGTGATGTTTGGGCAGAATATGAAAGTTCATACTTAAAAACATTAAGTTTGCATAGTTATCACCCCTCTACTTAAAAAAATACAATTTCATGAAACTCTAAGTCTTCCTTGGTGTGAGAAGAACATGCAGCCACAAATAATGCAACAACCCAACCTACCTTGCAACCTTCTTCTTGGTCTCTTGCTTTCCTTCTCTCTTTTTACCTTTTCCATTTTTATTTTATTCTGATTACATTTTGGGAAGCAAAACTAATTGGAGCAGTTGTGGCAAAGTCTGATGTGAACACTCCTGCAAAGGTTTTTTTTGCTGTTCATGATATATGCTGCAGAGCCACTACCCAAGCCCACATCCATGCTTTCCCATCCAAAAGAATTAATGCACCCTGACCAATATCAAGCCACTTGGGAACACAAACGAATATATATATATATATATATATGTATATACATATATATACATATTAAAAATAAATAAATAAAAAAATCCCTCGTTGCCAAGAAGCAACTGCCATGCCCACATCAATCACCATTGCATGTGAATGCTCTGACAGAGCCCCCCAATAATTCACCCCCGCTGCCCGCGCTGAGCTGGCTGGGCTGGGCAGCATAGCTGTGTCCTGAACGGATTGAAAGCTTCAAAGGAGGAAAAAGGGCAGCTTCAGCCCCAGGCACACTGCGGCAAGTACTGTGTAGTAATATCATGGATACGAGAAGAGAATATTGGGTACCCAAATAAAATAGTATAAAATAATATATTATAAAGAAAGAAAGAAAGAAAGAATGAAATATAACTGAGCTGCCCGTTTCAAAACTGCCCGGGCCAAATATTTCCTAGATATGTGAATAAGCAATGCTGGTGCCAGTGAGAGATAACTTCTGGAATTCTGGTGCTTCAATATTAGCTGTGTAGAAATACTTAAGGACCACTCTACTTTTTGCTCCCAAAAAGTAGAAAGTAAAGTAGTCAGGAAGATAGATGGATGTGAGAATTCTCATTGTCATCCCAAACCTTGGGATTAGCCTGGTTAGACTGCTTCTAAGCAGAGTTTTGTGTCAAAGCAACTGGTGGTCAGTAAAAAGTGGATGAATAAAGTATTGCCTGGGACGAGTCAGACTTTTTCCAGTTTCAGGGAAACAATACACACTTTTTGCTCCCCCTCCCTATAGCCTTTTTCTTGTGTTGTGTTGTGTTGTGCCAGAAGCTACAGAGTGTTTTTGGGGGTACTAAACCAGGCTCTTGCTGCGACAACAAAATAATGCACTTGTCACAAGGCCATGTAGTACTAAGAAATCCCAAGTCCTTTCAATTCAAGCCACTAAATCAGCATTTGAATGACAGAAGAAAAAAAAAAATGGGAAGGGAAGCAAAAAGATACTAATTATGTGTGTGTGTGTGGGGGGGGGGTGTTTTTAGTCTAAATTTAACATGTGTGAATTGAGTCTGAGTAGTGTTGGAAGTCTCAATGTCTTGAGCTTGTAGCCCAGTCATGACTTATTGTGTGTCAGAACTAGATGTTTGTGCAATGGGTGGAAAAGTAAGGAGGTTTTGTGGCAATTTCTATATTTACACCCATGTCTCATCAACACTGTGCAAGTCATGACTTTGATGATTTTATATAACATTATTGTTATTGATTGGCAGATCAAGACATGCACTAATTGAAGTGAGGGAAATTAAGATATACATTATATTAAATTGTTTTTCACTATCACTTTTTAGGTTTTTGAATTTATAAATTATTAGTGGTGTACATTCAAATTTATTATTGTTGCACATGATTGCACCTAAAATGTTTGCATTTACCCATATATATCTTTTTCTTCTTCTTCTTCTTCTTCTTCTTCTTCTTTTTTTTTTTTTTTTTTGATTCAATAGGAATAAGTGTTTTGTTTGTTTTGTTTCAAACTGTGTTGATTGGAACCATGATGTCAGTTTACTGGTGGATCTCACATATGTGTTCTTTACTTCATTTGATTTATGGTAATAAATAGAGATGTTCATGTAATGTGAGAATGTTTCAAAGAATTTTGAGGTCTAACAAAGCTATGATTCCATTAGGTGGTTTGGCATTTCCTAATTTATTTGCAATGTGATTTTTTATAAACATGAAATAACAAAATAAAACTATCTATCAAATTAAGCTAACTACCTTATAGTGTATTTTTTTGTATGTGCACATGTATTGTATGTATAGGTGAATATTAAATAGACCTAAGCTTTTACTAAATTAATCCACCTATCAAAACCACCATTACTCCTCCCCATCCTCATTCCCCTCATTTCCAACTCTCATCCCCCATCTTGAAATCCTCCTCGTCCTTGTTCTCATTCCTTATTCCTTGTCCCGACTCATCTTTTTAAGCAAGTGGACCTCCAAACATCATGATCTTTACATATTTTATTACAAATGATGTTCAACCCTAAGTATAAATGTTGGATTATATAATGCCAACATCCAAGAGGTGGAGAGCTTACTTCAAATAATGGAATGAAAGATGATTGTCTCATACATTATATACTTTTATTGTTTTTATATAGTACTATTTTGGCTTTGGATTCTTAACTTATGGTTAATATCTTTTTGTTCAAGTTTAAGACTCTTAGCAATAGTGGTAGAATATAGAGCAAAAGATTGATGCAAACAAGAATTGCACATGAAAGCTTAAATTAAATCTAAAGGTCATGTCCAATCTATTGTAATATGTCTTGATCTCAATTATTCAATTACTTCTTCTAAAGTTACTTTACTTCAAGTGTTCAAAGAGTTATAAGAGGTATTTGATAAGTGCTCCAAAAATAGTTAATAATATAATATGGTGCAATGTCTCTTCAAATTATTATTAGGCTTAAAGTCTTAGCTCACAACAATAATCCATTTGGAGATAGGCAAGATGATTCAAAATAAGAAAAATGAATGAAGGATTTGTATTTTCGTATCTTTATCAATTTTACATTTATTTACCACCTAAGATGGTCAAATAGTACTTCATGAGTATGTTTTTAATACAAGAATGTTTGAATTTAAAGGATAGTGCATAATAAACTATCAACTAATGCTATATCACTTACAATATGG